CTGGCAAAGTCTCATTGGATGAGATAGTTTCTATGGTTAGTAAACCCTTAGGATTATACAAGCCTGCGAATTTAAACGTCATAAAAGTTGTTGCGGTTTTAATAACGGATTTTCCATAATTCAGCTAAGCAAATTTCAAAAATAATATTAATTTTTTTTTCTACCACACAAGGATTTTTTACAAATCAGGAAGAAAAACAACAACAAGAAACTCTTACTTTGATGAAATTATTATTTCGTTTACCACGATGAGCATTTTTTTATTATGTTTGTTAATAAAACTACAAAGAAATTGAAGAAAAGGGAAGAAAATTGATGTCAAACGAATATGCATCCTCATTAATCCTGATTTATTGTGAAATCTACGTCTTTTGGTCTCAAAACTACATGTTGTGGTATTTTTTTTATGTATTGTGTCAGGAGCATCTCGTTTTAATGACCAACATTAATCAGTCATCATGCTGATGTTTCACCTTCTCTGATACCTCCTCTCCATTTCCCCGATGTCTTGATAAAACCTTTCCAGATGTTTCAGGTTGAAAACAATCCCTATCATAATTTCTATTGTCATCAGATTCAGAATCAGATGAAACTGTAACAAGAGTCTCCGTTGGAGTAGGTACAGGTACATTAGATCCATGAGTAACAGGTCTTATAGCAGACTGAAGGTTCGGATAAGAAATTTCCTTTTTATTTCAAGTGTTGTAGCCTTGCACGTTACATGATCAAAAATAGCAGTCATCTAGTCGTTTCTAGACCCACACCAGATCATTGGAATACCAAAAGGCAAAAACGTTTTCTTACCTTTAGTCCATTGTCTCATCTCTTCGACACAAATGGTGCAAACTTTGTGCATAGCCCATGATTTTTCTTGGTCCCCAAGTTTTATACCAATTTTTTTTTGTTTGTAATTAAGCACAAAGCTACACAATGGGCTATCTGTGCTCTGCCCACCACGGGTATCGAAACCCGGATTCTAGCGTTGTAAGTCCGCAGACATACCGCTGTGCTACTGGGGGGAGGGGCTTTTATTCCAAAAAACGTGTAATACGCTTGTTTGACGAATTCTGTAATGTTTTGCCTTTGTTTCTTTACAACCAATTTACCACAAATATAAAATAATATATTTGGGTCATTTACACAACCTCTTGTCGCCATAGCGACGAATAAATAAATAAAATTGAAAAGAAAAGAAAATGGCAAAGTGCACGCACAAACAAGTACTATCCAGAAATGACACGTCATGCGGCCTGTTAATCGTTTATATACTAGTGGTGTGTTTCTCGTGGGTTCTAGAACGATCGATAAGAATCTCATGCTGTGATTGGCCTAGATAAATCTATAGCCAGTTGTCAACATTTTAAGCATAGGAAAATGTGACCCCGATTTCAATGAAAATGATTCACTTATGTAAAAGTACATATGACATTTTGTGAAAAATCTGCACGAGATGGAGGAAAATGGATATGATTTTCGGATTCAACGTACAGGAATGACTGTAGAACATGTAAATATTTCAAGACAATAAAACTATGGCAGGCCTGTATTATCAACCAGCTTCTATTGTTTTCATAGTACTTAATAACTGTTAGTAAGTAACTAATTTCTAACTTGAATATATTCTACGTTTTGGCTACCGTTTTAAGGGAATTCCAGAGAAGGATTATGTCTTTGTTGGTAATAGACAGGATTCGTTCTTTACGTTTGCTTGATGAGAGGCTGGTTCCTTATCTACTTTAATGTTTTCAAGAGGAGTATCTAAGTTTTGCTGATTTATATGCTAAGTTGACTGAGTGTATTATCAGTTAGGTGAATGTAGAAAGCTTATGTTATTTTTTTTAATCGGCAGTGGGACGCGACTTAGAGAACCCCAGATACACAGTCTAGAAAGCTAACCACTGTGATACGTTCGGCTCATTTTGCACTATTATAGATTTATATCTAGATCCTATGATGCAATGTTAGAAGCAGAAAATGTGTAACAACCTAGATATGAAATAGTTTTATTGTTATTTTGAAGTAAACTTACAGAGAACAATGTTAAAAACGTTACTGTCAAGAGAAAAGTAACTATTTCCACTCTGCTTACGACACAGCGCTTAGAACAGTGTATTTTCCAGTACAAAAATTGCTTCGTATTGTGCGATAAAACTCACTGCCTCTAAGCATTATAGTTCTAGCGCATTTTGTGCTAGCAATGAAATGAAAATAATAGTTTTATGTCACATAAGAGGTTTATATTTAACGTTATACGTTTCACAACAGAGTTGGTGTAATCATGCTGCTAACTCAGTCATATAAACTATTAGTTCTCCCTAATAAGGATTTCTCTTTTCTTTTTTTAGCAAACAATCGTTTTCCCAAACGTTGTCATAAATCGAATTATAAATGATTTCCCTGTGCAAACGCAGCTGTGCTGAGATGTCTCAGTTCGTTTTGTTAGAAGCTTTTATTAGTACATCCTGATCAAAGCAAGCCAACTACATAGATCGGAACTAAAACGTAACTTAGTAACGTAGTTGATTCTATATACTAAGAATGTGTAATGTCATAAAACAAATCATAAGAAAACAAAACTTATAATGATCAGAAAGCATCGATTTATTAGTTAGGAACCCTCACTATTATAGACATCATTTTCGGCGGTAATCCCAATAATATGTAAAGGAGGCTCGATTAAACAAAGGCGACGTATTAAGCTAATAATGCAAAATGTAGTAAGTAAGTACATTAAATATTACAGCCAATATTTTTGAAGAGTTTAGCTTGAAGTAAGGAATGAAATATTAGATACATAAGACTATTTGTGTGCTTCATGTACTGCCACTCCTTGTAAAAACTAGACTGCAAAGAAGCTGCTTTTGATGAGAAATTATTTAATAATATATAAATTTGATATATATTTTAAAGCGCTAATTTTATATTACAACACTGTTCAAGGTTTAAATACAGTTTGTAAACAAGAATGTCGCTTCTTACTACCTTATAGGTTTGACACAAAGCGGCTCCAAACTCAATGAACCAGCTTATGTAACTTAGAACAATGCCACGTTGATTGGAACACAACTTGAAGGTGACGTAGTTAGTCATTCTTATTTCTTTAACACCTAAACCATAATCTATAATTAAATCAGTTTCATAATACTTATAACAAACAGTTTCGAATTACTCGTTGCTTATTGTTAGGTTTTACCTCCTTGTTTTGACAAATATGTAAGCAAAACACCCCCTAAAACACTAAAAGGCTATATAGTTTTAGTTGTATTTACGAAACTTTAAGAAATGCCAAAATGAATAATCATTAACTTGAGTAAAATAATCCAGTGTTTGTCTGTTAATTTTCGTCCATAATATTTTTATTAGTTCATTAAGATGTATTTATCATAACCCAGATGTGCAACACATAACAGGAGAGTTAGTTTTCCAACAATATTTCAACTGAAAGACGTAGTGGGTTTCAAAAATCGGGATATGCTAAATGCAGATTTTTGATGTAACAAAATTTAAAAATATTCTGGAAAAAAAAAAAAAAGACAACCTCAGAAGATTTTTAATAATTATTCTCCAGAATAAAATGCATCGAACGATCAATCTTATTTTTTTTCGGAACAGTTTTTCCAGTTTGTTCTTAACTCATCCTATAGTAACCTAAATTAATTTAGGTGTGTGAGTAGCATTATGGCATTGGACCTAATTTATTGTTCGATATTATATAGCAGACCAATTGTTTAATGATTATATAACATATTTCTTATCTTTTCACTAAAGGTAAAACTGAAAACATAATCTGTAACGTCGAGGCCTAATACATTCTTTGATTCGCAGTTTCACCTATTCAAGGCTCGTCGGCACAGTTTGTATTAGCAAACTATAGAAATACAGTTAGGCCTTTTATAATGGTGACTTGTTTGTTAAAATTCTGAACTGAAAATGATTTTCTAATAAGTATTAGGTCGTCAAGAAATTAATTTCGCTTTTTTTAGATGAAAAAACCCGAACAACTTATATATCAAAACAAAACATTTATTAAATGAAA